GGCTTACTGCCAGTGGCTTACTACCAGTGGCTTACTGCCAGTGGCTTACTGCCTTAGTGGCTTACTGCCAGTGGCTTACTGCCAGTGGCTTACTACCAGTGGCTTACTGCCAGTGGCTTACTGCCATGGCTTACTGTCAGTGGCTTACTGCCAGTGGCTTACTACCAGTGGCTTACTGCAGTGGCTTACTGCCAGTGGCTTACTACCAGTGGCTTACTGCCAGTGGCTTACTGCCAGTGGCTTACTACCAGTGGCTTACTCCAGTGGCTTACTGCCAGTGGCTTAACTCCAGTGGCTTACTGCCAGTGGCTTACTGCCAGTGCTTACTGCCAGTGGCTTACTGTCAGTGGACTTACTGACTTACAGTGGCTTACTGTCAGTGGTTACTGCAGTGACTTATACAGTGGCTTACTGCCAGTGGACTTACTGCCAGTGACTTACTACCAGTGGCTTACTGTCAGTGGCTTACTGCCAGTGGCTTACTACCAGTGGCTTACTGTCAGTGGCTTACTGCCAGTGCTTACTACCAGTGGCTTACTGTCAGTGGCTTACTGCCAGTGACTTACTACCAGTGGCTTACTGCCAGTGGCTTACTGCCAGTGACTTACTACCAGTGGCTTACTGTCAGTGGCTTACTGCCAGTGACTTACTACCAGTGGCTTACTGTCAGTGGCTTACTGCCAGTGCTTAGCTGTCATTGACTTACTGCCAGTGGACTTACATGCCAGTAGGACTTCTACCAGTGGCTTACTGGTCAGTGGCTTACTGCCAGTGACTTACTACCATGGCTTACTGTCAGTGGCTTCACTGCCAGTGCTTACTACCAGTGCTTACTGTCAGTGCTTACTGCCAGTGACTTATACCAGTGGCTTACTGCAGTGACTTACTCCATGACTTACTTACCAGTTGCTTACTGTCAGTGGCTTATACCAGTGACATACTACCATGGTCTTACTGTCAGTGGCTTACTGTCGAATGCCACTTGTACTACCAATGTACCACTAGCACATGTGACACACTACACCAGTGACACTTTAATACATGCTTTATGTCATGCTACCACTTATACAGTGTGCTTACTGTCCAGTACTTAACACTTGTCCATATTACTACCTACCTTTACTGTACATAGTACCTGGCACATGAACTGTTCACTCTAACCGTGATACTTGTGACAATCCTATATGTTCACTACCCATGTACTTACTCAGTGTCTTACAGCTTACGCCACGTGATTATACCATGCCTCTGCGGGCTTACTGTATACATGCGCACGTGTTAACCCGCACCGTACCGGAAACATCTGAGGCGACAGTGAAAACAACTGCTGGCCGACGTGATAACACTCCATGTTTATGTTTTCCTCCGGCTGGCAGTTAGTGTTAAAATGCATACACTTGATAACCAAGGTCTGACCAAGAGTTCCATTAAAGGTGTCATTTTGAATATGTCTATGGATGTGCTACACCTTGCATTGTATGTCTACACCGTCTTACATGATGTCTCACCTTCTCTTTCTCACTTGTTTACTTCGCAGTGGTCCACGACCGACCGAAACATCTACGACAGTGCAAAACATCTAGGACCGACCGAAACATCTTCCAATGTTTATTTCTCATTTGTGAGTTAGTTCTGAATGCCTACATGTGTACACCATTATGTACACCATAGACGATGTACACACCTTACCACCATGTGCACACTTTGAAAACAATTCTTCTATGTGCACACCACATTGCAGTGTGCACGCCATACTTATGAACACCTTACCAATATGTACATACCATACCCTTTCTGTGCACATTATACCCCCTTGTGCACATACCTGTGCACATCTAACCTGTGCACACCATACCCCTTTGTGCACACCATACCTAATATGTTTACACAATACCCCTATGTATACATCAGGTCACTATCAGCACACCATACCGTGATATAACATCCTCCCGGCTGCTGTTACCGTGATATAACAACCTCCCGGCGGCCGTTACCGTGATATAACATCCTCCCGGTGGCCGTTACCGTGATATAACAACCTCCCGGCGGCCGTTACCGTGATATAACAACCTCCCGGCTGCTATTACCGTGATATAACAACCTCCCGGCGGCCGTTACCGTGATATAACAACCTCCCGGCTGCTATTACCGTGATATAACAACCTCCCGGCGGCCGTTACCATGATATAACATCCTCTCGGCTGCAGTTACCGTGATATAACATCCTCCCGGCTGTCGTTATCGTGATATAACATCCTTCCGGCTGCCGATACCGTGATATAACATCCTCCCGGCTGTCGTTACCGTGATATAACAACCTCCCGGCTGCCGTTACCGTGATATAACATCCTCCCGGCTGTCGTTACCGTGATATAACAATCTCCCGGCTGCTGTTACCGTGATATTACAATCTCCCGGCTGCTGTTACCGTGATATAACAACCTCCCGGCTGCCGTTACCGCGACATAATAACCTCCCGGCTGCTTTACCGTGATATAACAACTTCCTGGCTGCCGTTACCGTGATATAACATCCTGCCAACTATTTGTCTTGCTAGTTTTGTTAGGTATGATTTTTGCGAAGTAACTCAACCTAATCTAACTTAATATATTCTAAATAAACTTAATTTAACTTAATGTAACTAAACCTAATCTAACGTAACCTTTGTAACTGAAGTTACAATAGGATACGTTAACGGAACCTAACCAGACTTAGGGTAACGTAAAAAGTGAGGATGGTAGCAGCCGGGTATACAGTGAGTACACACGATATTGACATTATATAGCGTTGTAAACTCGACGTTGTTACACTGACCTCACACTGTATTTCTGATGGAGCTGAACCTGGCTGATTGAAGCGTATAAACAACACATCCTCGTAATAACAGTCAGTATTTGAATGTTGCTAAGACAGTCAAATGGGTGACTGTTTAAAGAGCCTTAAACAGTAATTATCCGACTTAATTTTTGTATAATGCTTCAAAATTATTTTATATTACAGTCTAACCCAACCCAACATAACCTTGTTCTATTCTGTTCTATTCTAACCTAGCCTAACTTAATCCTATCTTATTCTGTTCTATTCTAACCAAGCCTAACCTAAACCTATTCTATTCTATTCTTACCTAGCCTAACCTAACCCAACCTAGCGTAACCCAAACTAACCTAACCTAGCCTAACCTAACCCAACCTAGCCTAAACCAAACTAACCTAACCTAGCTTAGCCTAACCTAACCCAACCTAAATAGCAAAAGGCACAGTACCGTAACTGGAACAATACACAAATAACCTGAGTTATTTGTGTAACCCAACCTAGCCTAACTCAACCTAACCTAGCCTAACCTAACCTAGCCGAACCTCACCTAACCTAACCGAACCTAACCTAACCGAACCTAACCTAACCGAACCTAACCTAACCTAGCCGAACCTATCCCAATCTAGCTTAACCTATCATAGCCTAACCTAACTTAACCTAATCTAACCTAACCTATGATAAATTAGACACATGTGCAACATTTGGGTATCTTTAATGAGGTAACGTTTCGCTATACACTGACTTCATCAGTCCATATAGCACATCTTGGGATCTTAATACAGGGAATTCTTCACTTGCCTAACCCTTGGGCATAACCGTCTTCCACATTGGTCAAATGTGATACCACCTACGACTGCTGCACCTCTCCTGCCTACAGTATATAAGCCACTTCTTTGCATGTATGCTGCATTCTTTCAAGATTGATGGACTGATCACATCGACTCAAGGCTAAGGGACTGATTACCTCAAATTCCTCCTGTTCTTCACCATTCTCCATTGTATGGACTGATGAAGCCACTGTGTGGGCGAAACGTTTCCTCATTAAAGATACCCAAATGTTGCAAATGTGTCTAATTTATCAACTTGTCGGTTCTCTGAACCATTCATCTACATAACCTAACCTAACCTATTCTAACCTTACATGTTCTAACCCAACCTATTTTCTTGTAACTTAACCTAGCCTAACCTAATCTAACTTAATTCTAACCTAACTTAACCTAACCTAACTTAATCTAACCTAGTCTACCCTAACCTAGCCTAACCTAACCTTACCTAGCCTAACCTAACCTTACCTAGCCTAACCTAACCTTACCTAGCCTAACCTAACCTTACCTAGCCTAACCTAGCCTAATCTAACCTAACTTAGCCTAACCTAACCTAACCTAACCTAACCTAGCCTAACCTAACCTAGCCTAGCCTAGCCGAATCTTTTCTAACCTAACCTAGCTTAAATAACGTAAATCGAACAATTTACTTTCAACTGTATGTGAGAAATTTACATAGAATTTGCGAGGATGAGTTGATATGTACTTTCTCCTGGGTGTACGTCAACTGACGTCACTACACCCTGCCAGTCCCTGGTTGTACGTCAACTGACGTCACTACACCCTGCCAGTCCCTGGTTGTACGTCAACTGACGTCATTACACCCTGCCAGTCCCTGGGTGTACGTCAACTGACGTCACTACACCCTGCCAGTCCCTGGATGTACGTCAACTGACGTCACTACACCCTGCCAGTCCCTGGGTGTACGTCAACTGACGTCACTACACCCTGCCAGTCCCTGGGTGTACGCCAACTGATGTCATTACATCCTGCCATCCCCTGGGTGTACGTCAACTAACGTCATTACACCCTGCCTGCCCCTGGGTGTACGTCAACTGACGTCACCACACCCTGCGAGCCCCTGGGTGTACGTCAGTTGACGTCATTACACCCTACCATTCCCTGGGTGTATTTCAACTGACGTCACTACGCCCTACCAGCCCCAGGGTGTACGTCAACTGACGTCTCTACACCCTACCAGCCCCAGGGTATACCTCAACTGACGTCACTACACCCTACACACTATACCTCCTGGGTGTACGTCACCTGACGTCACTACACCCTACCAGCCCCTGGGTGTACGTCAAATGACGTCACTACACCCTGGTCATGTGTTGATCCCTGTGTTGCCCTTCCTTCTAGGTATTACTGCTGCCATGGCTGCCAGTGACTATTTCCCCTCGAGGTCAACCGTCAGTATCCCTGGTGAGTGGCCCTTGTTTCCTCCCTTCAGTATCCCTGGTGAGTGGCCCTTGTTTACTTCCGTCAGTATCCCTGGTGAGTGGCCCTTGTTTCCTCCCTTCAGTATCCCTGGTGAGTGGCCCTTGTTTCCTCCCTTCTGTAACCCTGGTGAGTGGCCCTTGGTTTCTTCCCTCAGTATGCCTGGTGAGTAGCCCTTATTTCCTTTTTTCTGTCAGTATGCCTGATGAGTGGCCCTTGGTTTCTTCCCTCAGTATGCCTGGTGAGTAGCCCTTATTTACCATTTTTCTGTCAGTATTCCTGGTGAGTGGCTCTTGGTTTTTCCCCTCAGTATGCCTGGTGAGTAGCCCTTATTTCTTTTTCCGTCAGTATGCCTGTTGAGTGGCCCTTATTTTCTTCCCTCAGTATACCTGTTGAGTGGCCCTTATTTCCTTCCGCTAGTGTTCCTGGTGAGTGGCCCTTATTTCCTTCCGCTAGTGTTCCTGGTGAGTGGCCCTTATTTCCTTCCGCTTGTATTCCTGGTGAGTGGTCCTTGTTTTCTTCCCTCAGTATGCCTGGTGAGTGGCGCTTGTTTTCTTCCCTCAGTATGCCTAGTGAGTGGCCCTTATTTCCTTCCTTCAGTATGTCTGGTTCACCTTCAGTTGTTTTTAACAAGATTTTATATCCTTGTTTTTCTGATATATATATATATATATATATATATATATATATATATATATATATATATATATATATATATATATATAATATATATATATATATATATATATATATATATACGCTTGTGATTTTTGTCAGTAATTAATGTTATAACCATGGTGTTGACATCTCGTTGCTGGTAACAGGAAAAAGGTAAACAGACAAAAAGCACAAAATAAATCACAATTTTCGTTAGAAAAAATTATACTGAATTATTTTTTTTTCCAAATAATCTTTTTGCTTTTAAGTTACATTACTTTAGGTTATATTAGGTCTGGTTAGATTACATTACTTATACTAGGGTAAGTTTGATTAGGTTATGTTAAGTTAGGTAAGGTTAATTTTATTTAGTTTACTTAAAAATTTTAAGTGAGGTTATGCTAGGTTAGCCTAGGTTACTGCTGTGTTAGGTTAGGTTAGGTTTAGTTAGATGAAACTAACTCTTTTCCTGCGACTTTCAGCTCTTGTTCGTGTTTACAAGGTAAGTTACCTGTGTTCACCTCACCGCGTTTATATACACCACACTAATCTTATTATAATTGTTTTAAGTTATTATCAGTGTTATGCAGTCTTGTTATTATCCAACAAACCAATATACGTAAGAAAAGTCCCAAAGATGTCAATGTCTTGTAAGTTAAATTCTCAGTAACTATAATATGCCCGCTGAGTGGCCTGTTAGTACCATTGTATCTAATAATAATAATAATAATAATAATAATAATAATTATTATTATTATTATTATTATGATTATCATTATTTCTACAAACACATGATACAACTTATACAGACCATACCTGACATCAGTGACATACTATATAGAAAACCCCTCGTTATGCAGAGCATTTCAGGCAAATTAGGTTAATTTTGTCCCCAGGATGCGACCCCACACCAGTCAACTAACACCCAGGTACCTACTTACTGCTAGGTGAACAATGTTTATTGTTTGAGAATGCCTCACTCTGTCGGCTTCAAATTTTCACTGCTGGTGAGCTTTAACTAGTGGAAAGATCGTTGCTGCTACTGTCATCTCGACTTAATTGTTTATAGTATACAGTTCCCGGATTTTATTTGTGATAACCTGAGAAAGCCTAGTGTGTTCGGCTGCAAATTTGTTTTTGTGTTTCATAATGTTTTATAATTTTGGAAGAAAATCACAGAATGTTTCGTATTTTTGCAAAATTTTTCACAAAACGTTTCATAATTTTACCCCCCCCCCCCAAAAAAAAAAAAAAAAAAATTACGTAATTTTAAAAAAATGCTTTTAATTTTCACAAAACATTTCATAGTTTTACAAAAAAAAAAAAATCACGAAAAATCACAAAATTAATATTTTCACAAATTGCTTCATAATTTAAAAAAAACAATAGTTGTTTTTTACGGAATATTTCGAATTTTTTTACAAAATGTTTAAAATAATTCTTCATTTTACAAACATTTTTTTTGTACACAGTTTCACAAATTTCTTCACAACATTTTGAAATGCGTCATAATTTTCAGGAATTGTTTCGTAATTTAAAAAAAATATTTCGTATCTTCACAAAAATGTCTCATAATTTCATATGTTCTTTATTTTTACACAAAAAATATATTTCATAATTTCACACTGTTCCGTATTTTCACACTCAAAAAAAAATCACAATTTCACAATGTTCTGTATTATCACACACACAAAAAAAATCGTATTTTCATATTTCTTATCCTAACAAAAGTGTCTCATAATTTCACAATATTCCGTATCTTCACAAAAATAATGTTTCATTATTTCACAATGTTTCACAGTTTCACAAATCTTCCCCGTCAGTGACAATTCCAACCAGGATACGAAAAAATAACTGACGAAATTTCACAACGTTTCGCTCTGTGTAGAGATTTTTCACGCCATGATAAAGCTCTACACTGAGCGAAACGTTATCTCAATAAATTCTTCTCATTTTTTTTTTCAAATATTTTTTTTTGTAACGGTTTATTTTTAAACCTGATTTGAGAATCACGTATATAAGACTATGATTAACGTATTTAAAACCGAGTTAAACACGTTTAAAACCAATATTAACACTTTTAAAATTAAGATTAATATATTTAACCTAGATTAACACTTCTAAAATTAAGATTAGCATATTTAAAGCCAAGATTAACATACTTAAACCAAAATTAACGCATCTAAGATTAAGATTTACATATTTAAAGCCAAGATTAACATATTTAAACCAAAATTAAAACTACTAATATTAATATTAACCTATTTAAAGTCAAGATTAACATAAACCAAAATTAACATATTTAAAATTAATACTAACTCCTTTAAAGTCAAGATTAACATACTCTTCGTCCAGCTAACAAAGTCACACGATCGACACCATGCCTAACCCTTCTAGGGTAGGGTAGGTGCCTGAGCCCGAGCCTTTAGCTCATAAGACTGTCATTCCCATTTGCCCGCTTGGGACGGGGATGGCAGACCAGAGAGGCCTAGCTTGTGGCTAGGCCTGGGGACAGTTAGTCCCAAAGATGAGGAGGTACTTGTGCCTCCTCCCATGGGAGACTTAGGTCTCAGACACTCCCTAAAGAGGGAGCCAAGGCTGGGCCACCACTTGGAAAAGGCCCGGGCCGGGAGAATACCGGCTAATCTTTAACTAACTAAAGTCTCACGTTTAACACCTACATACAGACACGTAATGTCACACAAATTTAACATAAGACGCCTGGTCACACTCTGATATTAGTATGTTAAAATGATCTTCCTTAATGAGTCCACCATTATTGTTCACTCCGACTGCTTGGTGGTACTCAACCTCGTTAATTACAGGTGAATAAGCAGGTGGCTCGCAATTAATGCCTGAAATTGTCTAACATTATGTCTAAACTACATGTAAATTTGTCTAACATTATGTCTAAATTGCATGGAAAATTGTCTAAAATTGTATCTAGAATTGTGTAAAATTTATTGTTAAGTTATATAAGGTTGTGTCTAAAATTGTCTAAATTTAATGTAAAATTGTCTACAACTGTGTCTAGAATTATGTCTAAAACTATATCTAAAATTGTCTCTAAAGTTATGAGTAAAATTATTTTTACAATATATATATATAAAGTTATGTCTAAAAAGCGTCAAAAATTATGTCTAAAATGAGCTTATTATTACCGGCACTTAGGCCAGCATCCCTGCAGCATTATCTTCACAACTCATTACACTAAATCTTAATGGCTCCTATTCTTCAAATTTAGTGGACATGTCTTATGAATATCGCCAGTCCTCGGTGCTCGAGATCTTTCGCCAGTCCTCGGTGCTCGAGATCTCTCCTCTGAATATTATAAGTCTGTCCTCTGTATATCATAAGTCTGTCCTCTGAATATCATAAGTCTGTCCTCTGAATATCGTAAGTCTCTCCTCTGAGCAATGTAAATCTGTCCTCTGAATATTTATTTAAAATATTTCTCGCTATCCCTAAAAATTGACATTAAAATATTCTTATGTTAAATTTTGCAAAACGCAGCTTTAAGGTCTGTCCTCTAAAGATCATCCAACACACACACACACCACACACACACACACACCACACACACACACACACAAAAAAAAAAAAAAAAAAAAAAAAAAAAAAATCTCGGGGTGAGTATAACACCGAGCATATCTCCTGAGGCGCACATCAATCAATAACTGCTGCAGCATACGGGCGCCTGGCAAACCTACGGATAGCGTTCCGATACCTCAGTAAGGATTCGTTTAAGACTCTGTATACCATTTACGTCAGGCCCATACTGGAGTATGCAGCACCAGTTTTGGAATCCACACCTAGTCAAGCACGTCAAGAAATTAGAGAAAGTGCAAAGGTTTGCAACAAGACTAGTCCCAGAGCTACGGGGATTGTCCTACGAAGAAAGGTTGAGGAAATCGGCCTGACGACACTGGAGACAGGAGGTCAGGGAGACATGATAACGACATATAAAATGCTGCGCGGAATAGATAAGGTGGACAAAGACGGGATGTTTCCAGAGAGGGGACACAGACACAAGAGGTCACAATTGGAAGTTGAAGACTCAGATGAATCAAAGGGATGTTAGGAAGTATTTCTTCAGTCATAGAGTAGTCAGGCCGTGGAATAGCCTAGAAAGTGACGTAGTGGAGGCGGGAACCATACATAGTTTTAAGGCGAGGTATGATAGAGCTCATGGGGCAGGGAGAGAGAGGACCTAGTAGCAATCAGCGAAGAGGCGGGGCCAGGAGCTGTGAATCGACCCCTGCAACCACAAATAGGTGAGTACACACACACACACACACACACACACACACACACACACACACACACAC